TAACAAATTTGGATACAGCAGCAACGTTCTCGCCTCTAAAATTTGGCAACACTGTGAAAGAATTAAGTTTACTTGAAAGATATTTTTCACGAAACGAATTTTTGGAAGTGATATAAAGTATGTTTCACCCATTTTCAAATTTTCAGTCTATTATGTTTAAATAAGTAATTTTAATACAACAGTTAGATTTAGCAAACCCACAAAATTTTCATCTGCAAACAAATAAATATTAATACATTTAACATGAAAATCATTGATCTTGCATCATTCAAAACACTAAAAACTTAAATTTTATATTTTGCATAAATTTACAGAATTTAGTTTTTAAATTCTACAAAGTTTATTCATCTAATTTAAAAAGAACCACATGCGTTTATTTAATAAGTATAAAAATAACATTTTTTAGCCTTGCACAATTAAATTGGGAAGCGGTAAACTTCACAAGAAAGTATTTTATAATAAATATTAAATACTGTTTAACGCTCAGTTTCATTTCACATTGTAATAATTACATATTTTAACAATGTATAATTAAAAACGCATAGGTAGATAAATTTGAAATTTTATCATTACATAAATTAGTAAATTCAAAAATTCATTAACTAAATGTGTTTATTGAATTCGCGGGGCGGTGTTCTTGAATATTTTTTATTTACAAAGTTGAGCATAAGAAATGAAATTTTTATGTAAAAAACGGTTCTAGAACATCGCCACTATTGTAAAATTCGCAATTTTTTGCTAAATCTAACTTACAGTGAAAAAATTTTGAATAACAATTTCAAAAATAAGAATTTAAAAATTCTATTATGAACAACTTTAGAGCAAATGATTGCTCTTAAAATTGTCGAACAAAAAAATCCATTTTTTTATCGATTTTTGATGATTTGACAATACAAGCCTTTCTAATCGCCAATTCTAATAAATTTCCCATAAACTACATTGCAGCCAAATAAATTGGGCACAGCTATTCTGAGCAACACTACAAACAGAAAACATGAGACTTACGTACTTTATTATCAATAATAGGTGTAAACAAGAAGAAATTGAAATTGATTTTTAAAAAGTTTTTAAACAATATAGTCTCAAAAAATGCTCTTTACAAAGAAAATTTATAAGATTAATATTTATAATATTTATAATTATATTATTATTTTTAAGAAATCTATTTGATAAATGTTTTGATTTTCATAAATTTTACAATAATTTTCTTTTTCTTGAAAGTAGAAAGGTTCTTTGATACTTGCATCTGTCCGTTGTGGCGGACCTTTCGGCACATTTAGACTGGCGAGACTTTTCCTAATTGCTTTTTAATTTTGCTGTAATGGCTTTTTCGTAGCCTCAACATCTAAGGAGATGCAAAGACTGCTTATGGTCATTACTAAATGGTCATTCTATCGCGATCCGTGCTTGAAGTAACAAACAAACGTTTAGTGTCAAGTATATGTATAAAAAGTGCCAAGAAAAAATTATTCAAAACAATATGAATTTGTGAAAAAATTTCATGCTATTATGTGTGCATTATGTAACGAGAAATCGTATTTGTAAAGTGCCAAGGATCTTTATTTATTGTGATAAATATTTTCGGGAAAACATTAGACTACTATGCTTCGATTCATGTGAGAAATACTACGAAGAATTACAGTATTTTGCTGCCACAATGACTTCTCGGGCGCAAAAAATGCTGAACATGTGTAAAGTAAGTAAAATTTTTTAATATTTGCATTCAGAAAGAAATGAAATCACCTGTATGGAACTTCTTTTATTTTGTCGCAAGTTTTTCTATCACTTAAGTGTCAATCTTTATCAACTTAAAAACAAAATCTTTTAGACTGCATTAACTTTTTCTAATTCTATATTAAAAAGAAGAAATTACACATTTTTAGGGTTCCGTTCATGTAGTGAACCGCGACTGTTCCCTTATGGAATCACTTTTGGTATTTTGGCCCCCTAGCCAAACTCAGCCTTTCCAACCTAAAAAGCCTAAAATTGATACTAATACGTATTTTCACGTGTACATTCAACCTAAATCACAGAAAAAACTCAATTTTTGTTAAAAAATGTGTCTCCCCCCCCCTTTGAGAGCATTCGCATATGATATCAGGCTGTAGACGGTACGGAGGGGGTCTTCCCAAAAAATAAATTTATGTTCTTTTTCCACATAAAATATCATAATATGGCGTTGCAAAAGGGGGTACGGGTACGAAATCTTGAAAAAATGTGTGATATCATGTCTTAACACTTCCTTTAACTTTTACAGTTTTTAACCTAAAGAGCTTAATTAGTGTACATACGTATTTTCATAAATAGATTTCACGATAAATATCGCGAACCGATTAGGAATAGATTTAAACCTTGTATTTTAAGAAAACTTCTTTTTTTTTAAAAACGCAGTTTTCCCACCAACTTTTACAATTTTAAAGTGCACGAATTGCAATTTGCTATACAAACGTATTTTTGCAAGTACACTACACGCAAAATTTAGCGGAACTAATTGGAATTACTCTTAATATCGTTTTTCAGACAAAACAGATTTGTCTAATGAAATGCGTTTTTTCCCTTTAACTTTTATAATTTTCAATATAAAGGGTTGTAATTTATTACATATACCTAATTCTATTAGTGCATTGCAGGCAAAATACAACGGATCCGATTAGAATTAATCTAAATATTGTTTCTTTAAAAAAAATAATTTCTTTCATAAAAAGCTCTTTTGATTATTAATTTTTACAATTTAAGAGCTAAAAGTTGCAGTTTTATATACACACCTATTCTTAAAAGTACATTATGTAAAAAGTATAGCGGACGCAATTAAAATTAAACTAAATATCTTTTTTTTAAATATTTTTTTTAAAGAATCGAGTCTTTTTTCATAATTTTATTAATTTTAAAGCTAAAGATTGGCAAGTTTCTATACATATGTATTTTTTGTGTGTTTTTTTATTTTTATATTTTTTTTAAACTTATAATTGTGAGTTATTTATTTATTTAGAATTTATTAAGAAAGCGTTTAAATTTTCTCGATTTTAATACAAATTTCTTTTTGCTAGAAAATAAAAGACCCTTTTCTGCTTGCATCTACCTGATGTGATGGGCCATTCAGCTCATCCAAATTAAAGACACTATTTACTAATTGCTTTTTAATTCTTTTGTAATAGTGATTAACACACTTTCAAATACTTGCTTTTGAATAAAACTTACAATATGTATTTTAAGAAACAGAATTTTTGAAAAATCATTATTTTTGTTTTCGGGATATAAATAGACTAACAATAAACAAACAAATAAATGTACGGTAATTATAGAATTCTCATTTTAAAGCTTATCAAATTCCTCATCCAACGAGTTCAAGATGAGGCATTTTAGATTAATAGATATTTAATAAATAATTAAGTAATTGATTTTTATTTATAATTATAAGATTATAATATATTAATCTAAAATAATTCATACTAGGTTCGTTGGATTCGAAATTGGATAAACGTTTAGTTAGAAGTTTCGAATTACTTTTACTTATTTGTTTCAAAAGTATTTTATTTATTATCAATAATTATTTATAATAAATAAAAATATTTTAAAACAGTAATAATTGTAATCATGTACACTAGCTAGAAAATTTGAAATTAATTCATAAGTATCAAATACCCGTCGTACTCCAGTTAATAGAAAATACTTATATTTCTATTTTTCGTATAAGCCTTAAAAAATTTGTTTTAATTGAAAAAAAATTGAATAAAAAATTTACTAAAAATTCCTTGAAAGTAAAAATATAAATATTACAAAATTATTTTATGGCAAGAATCTTGTGACTTAAATAAATTGTTATAGGTGTGTATATAAAATTGCAACTTTTAGCTCTAAAATTGTAAAAATTAATAAGCAAAATAGTTATTATAACTAATTCAACTTAACAATTGATCCGTTTGCCAGAAAAACGCCGTAAGTCGACTTAATCCTTTTTTCAAAATATACTTACAATCAGATTATGTAATAAATATTTAGCAATATCCTAGCCAAACCTTGAAAACAGTTCCGAAAGTGTTACGAAATTGTTTTATAATAATGTCATCCCATACGTGTAACATCCGCTGTCACACGTTTAGAATGACATTATTATGGAACTAATATGTAACAGTTACAGAACTGTTTTCAAGTGTTTACTGGGAACATTTGATTAAAATTGTTTATTAAGAAAACAGTTTGAAGTAAATAATAATTTATTAAATGACTTACAATTATCAAATAAAACTTAAATATGAGTTTCCACAAAGAGCCTCAAAAACACTTTAGTCGTTTTGTCTTTAAAACGGTTCGATTATTTTTTATTATACTAATTTTATTTTATAATTTCACTTTCTTTAAGGTAGAGGAAGAAAAGAAAATCGATAAAGATAATTGTAAGGACCAAAGTTGGAAGATGATAGATGTTAAAGTAAGTTTTTTAGAACCAATATTTTTTTATATTTTCAAAAAATATTGAATTATTATTTATTTTGAATTTAACAATGTGATAGATATCCCAATATATTTTTCAAATTTGCTCAATCTATTTTATAAACCCAAAACGACTTATTAATATCGAAATTGAATTATTTATTCGCTAATTTTTAATGTTAATTAAATTAAATTATAATAGAGAGAAAGCAGTTATGTTACTTCCAAATTGCATTTTAATCCCTTTTTTATATGTTGACCTTTCGTAATAATGTTTTTACTTAAAAGAATCTTTTTTTTACGACAAAATCCAAAATATTATTTATTTGACATTTATTTTTAATATTTTTGTATACCAATCTATTTATGTTATTAAATTAATTTTATTTTATTATTTATCTTTTTTAAGGTAGTGGAAAAAACGAAAATTGGTGATGATAATTGTAAAGAAAAAATTGAAAAGCTGATACATATTCAAGTAAGATTTTTTAAAACCACTATTTAATTTCCTTACATCTAACTTTCTTGAAAAAGGATTTTAAATATTTACTGTTTATTAGGAATGGGTGAACAATAGTTGTATGAATGTATCAACTGAAGGTGAACCAATATACGCATTGAAAACTATGAACAAGGATGGGTTATTGAAAAACGTTTTAAATGTGTCAGCATTAGAAGTTGTCGAAGATCCATATGAATTTAAAGAAACCGATAGTGAAGTTGGTATCACTAAAGTCATGAGTATCAGTGATTTAATAGATAAGTACGATGTAGTTACTGGAGCTTGTATTTTGGATATTACAGCAGAAGAAAACGTTGAAAAATCTTATACAAATTTGAAAATCAATGAAAATAACAACGTTGAAAACATTATTACTAAGGGTAATTCAAAATCTCTTTGCAATATCGCCGCAGGAAAAAATGAGGAATCTCTCAAAGCTTTTGATGTAAATGAAATTGACAATATTCAGGATATGAGTAATGAGGGGAATTCAAATTCTTCATATGAAAACGTAAGTGATCAAATCATTTAATTTATGATAATGAATAATTTTTTGATTTTTTGCAGATGACTATCAACTCGTTTGTGATTCTGGAGCAGAACAATAACAGTATTTTGGATATTACAGCAGAAGAGAACTTTAATAAATCTTATGCAAATTTGAAAATTAATGAAAATAACAACGTTGAAAACATTAATACTAAACATAATTCAAAATCTCTTTGCAATATCGCCGCAGGAAAAAATGAGGAATCTCTCGAAGCTTTTGATGTAAATGAAATTGACAATATTCAGGATATGAGTATTGAGGGGAATTCAAATTCTTCATATGGAAACGTAAGTGAACAAATCATTTAATTTATGACAATGAATAATTTTTTGATTCTTTGCAGATGACTATCGACTCGTTTGTGATTCCGGAGCAGAACAATAAAAGTTTGACAATTTTAATTAATCAACAGTATCATGAAAGTGAATCATAGACACCTGACGAAGGACCCATATTTCATGATAAAGATAATGATAATATTTCAATAAGTTTTGAGACCCTTGATGATGACAGTAGAGATAAGGACTTCAAGATAGACGATTTTTCAGACAAAACTTCTTCATCCGCTTCGTCTGTTGATGATGAAATAGACGATGATCATAGCAGTATCATTGAAAATGTTAAAATAATTGAAAACATTATCAGTGACAAAGAAGAACAAATTGTATCATGTGAAGTTGACACTTGCAAGATTAAGGTTTGGTACAATTATAATTAAATTTTTAGAAAATAATAAAATATTTTCTTATTTTAATTACATTGCAGGGAAAAAATGAAAATAATAAGTCAGCATGGTGTCCATTTTGTGAAGACGATGTTTCATCGAAAAACTTTGTGAGGCACATGGAAAGATCACATAAAGAGAAACCTGAAATTAAAAGCATTCTAAGTTTACCAAGTAAAAGTAAGGAAAGAAGGGCAGCATTTGACTTATTTAGAAAAAAAGTAAATTTTGATTTATATATCAATGGAACCACAAGACCGCTCAGACAAACATCCAACCAAGATTTGTCAGCCTTTTATCCATGCATTTATTGCACTGCGATGATTAAAAGAAGCTATTTAGCACGTCATTCCGCAGTTTGCAGTAAAAGAGGGTAAAAAATAAATGGAGATGGTCAAGCGATTCATCGCAATTATTTAACAGAGTCGCAAACATTGACAGCTTGCTCTACAGATCCAACTAACGTTATATCTAGACTGGCAGTGAAAGAACAGGTAATTGCAAAACTCTTTAAAATACAACTTAATATTTATTTATTAGTTCAAAGGTTATGTATAAAGTAGTTTTTTTCATTAATTATTCCATTAAAAAATTTTTTGGCATTGCTTAATAATTAAGTTTATATCAAATAGATAAGAAAATACTTTTTTTAGGTTTTCGGTAAAATGAAAGCAGACGAAATAGCGTTTGAAGCTAAAAAAGATCTTTTAATTGTACAGTTTGGTGACAATTATTTGAAAGGCCATAAGAGGGAACGAAAGGAATATGCGTGCAGTAATAGAATGCGTGAACTTTCGCGTCTTTTGATTGCCTATAGGGAAATAGTCAATAATGACAAAGTTTCCTTTAAAGATATGCTTAAACCCCAAAATTTGGATAATGTCCTTTCAGCCACACGGCAAATTTCAGGATTTAATCCATTGAAGCGAGATTTCAGTGCTCCAAGCTTAGCAATGCATATAGGCACATATTTGAAGGACGTAAGTGATTTGCTTCTACGGTTAATTTTGAAAAAAAGTTCAGGATTTACTACTTCATCTGAAGAAAAATGTGAGAAATGGTTAAAAGAAGTAAAGCATTTTAAAAATATTATTTCATCTTCGTGGAACATCGAAATATCTTCACTTGCAAACAAAGATTTGCAAGAGAAACGATGGAATAAGCCGTTGCTTGTGCCACTTATCAGTGATATCAAAAAGTTCAGAGACGAGACAATTATTTTAGCCAGAGAATGTGAAGAAAAATTTCAGAATTGTCAAGATGATGTGGTCACTTACAAAACTTTTGTGCATTGCGTCTTAGGATTAGTCATTCTTTTCAATCGGAGACGAATTGGCGATGTTCAGTACTTGAAACTTCAAAACTACGAAAAGGAAACAAAATCTAATTTCACTGATTTTAGGAAAGCATTGAGTGACTCGGAAAATGCCTTAACAACCAGATATAAACGCGTCGTTAATAGCGACAAAGGATCCAGAGCTGTCGTCATTTTAGTGCCGGAGTTATTACAAAAATTTATCAAAATCCTTTTAGAACAGAGAAAAAAATATGTTCCTGTTGAAAACGAATATGTTTTTGCCATTCCAAGTAGCAAAATTCAATGGGGGCAAGGCGATGTGGCGATACGCTTCCTAGTTAAAAAAGTTGATTTGCAGTTTCCTGAAGCAATGTCCAGCAACAAATTTAGGAAGCAAATAGCAACAGTAGCTCAAATTCTCAACATGTCCAAAGAAGATAGGAAACAATTTTCAAAATTCATGGGACATACAGAAAAAACACATGCTGAGTTTTATGAGTAAGTTAATAAGTTAGCTAAATAAATGTTTTCTCCTGCTACACACAAAACAATATAGATTCAGAATTATTTTAATCAACTTCAATAATTGATTTCTTAATGATTTTTTGACAAATTGTAATAAATTACTATTCATTTGTTGCAAACATTATATGACAATTTTTCTTTCCAGATTACCAATTGATATATATGAGACAGCGAAAATTTCCAAGTTATTGATGATGATGGAAACAGGATCTCTGCCCGTGGAATATCAAGGAAAATCCTTGACTGATATTGATTTCGATGAGAATTTAGAATACGCTGAAGAATGTGCCGAAGGTAAAAAACATATCATACATTACTAATTTTGCAGCATCTAATTCTGATACCTTGATTATAGAAAAGAACGACAAAACATCCGAGGCAATCATCACTGAAACCAGCATCAGTGATAGCACCCCGTCATGCTCTACTCGAGATCTTAATGAAGGTAATATTATAAACTAGTTTTTAATTCTTTTGGTTTTCATATTTGAAACAAATTTATTTAAGTCGTTCAAAACAATGATACAAATTAAATATAAGATTTAAAATCAATATAAGTAATGTGCGGTCGAATATATAATAAAAGAATCAATAAATAAACAATTAATATGACAAATTATTAAAAATTATAAAATTAAGCAAATTATTTATTTTTCAGATTTTCACTCAGATCTTAATAGAAATCTTGATTCATCAAAAGTCTCAGCATCAAAGAAGCAAAAAATGAAGAAATCTGGTAAGTGACATTAACATATCTTTTAACTGAATTTAGGAATAAATTGAACTAAAATATATTAATATTATGAACCGTAAAGTAGGGTTAGATTGTTATTATCAAATATTTATTTAATCTTCATTAAATTTTGATTTAGACTTTTCCATAATTACTGGTTCTAAAACTTGATTTTATTTAATTAAATTAACATTCTTAGTTTGTCAATAAATATTTTTTAAAAGATCGACGACTTTACTCCACATTTTAAGGAAAAGTTGTCGACATATAAATATTTTTCTAACCAACAAATTAATTTTTTTATGTAACGATATTAAAGAAGAAGAGTTAAATTTTATATATTAAAAGTATTAAAGTTTATTTTATTATGATTTGTTCCTAATTTTTTAAGAAAACATTGAAAAAATTGCCGACTTTACCCCATTTTACGGAACATTTGGAAATAGAAATCATACATATGTGGCATAGTCGGTAAATTTGCAATAGTAAATACCTTCCAAATTAAACAAAAACTATAGCAAAAAGATTAAGAAGGTTCTCCGAATGCAGTGGTTCTCTGTTTGATTTTTTTAATTAATCACATATTTCACGTTTATGCTTTCTCTCTCAATCTCATGCACTTGTCTCTCTCACCACTCTATTCACAATGTTAAAACAACCTAACTTTGTATTTCAAAGTAATTGAATTAAAAATTAAGTCCGGATAGCCCCATTTACACTTTTCCTATATTATTTCTTTTATTCGTTTATTTAATATATTAATTTTTTGATAAGATTATGCACCGATATAAAATCCCTAATTTTTTCTTTTTTCAGTGTGGTCGAAAGAAGAATTACAATCAATAAATTATTATTTTTTGGCATTCATCAGAAAAGGAAACTATCCATCATCAAAGGAAATGATGTCATTTATCAAAGAAACAAAAAGTAGCAGAAATGTGTCACAAATAAGATCTAAGATACAACACTTAATTGGGAAAAGCGTCAAATAGTCTTAATATAAATAATTTTACAAAAGTAAAATATTTTGTCAAATAGCTAATTGATTAAAACCAGATATTTTAAGATATATACAATAAAACCTTAAGTTGTTTACCTCTTACTGCCTTACTTGTTTTAAACAATCGACTTTTATCTTTCTTTAAAACCTATTGGCTCATCTATTGCAATACATGAAGAATAACGATAGTAATTTCAGTGAATTTTTGAAACTATTATTTTAATAAAACAATACTTTTTCGGCGTTGGCTATAAATAGATTTTAATAAAGGGTAGTCATTCTGAGTAAAATTTAGTTAATAATTAAATCTACTAGACCTCATTTAAAAGTCAATAAATAAATAAAAATAATTAAATAACACAAATAAATTTAAAATATTAACATTTAAGAAATATAGAAAACAAATAAGATATAAATGAAAGAAATAACTATAATTTTGTTCACATATTTTTTTAAACAAAACAATAATTATTTTCATAAGAAATAACTAAAAAAATTAGTCTACCGGCTAAATCAAAAATTCATATTTTGAAACAATTTATATAGTATAATGCTTTCAAGATATCTGAATCCAAGTAGCCAACACACCAATGTCAAACTGCTGTATCATAAGCAATGCAATACGTTTATACCTTCGAAATATGTCAACACCGCTTGAGGTGAGTGCGTACAAAGCGTAACGCGCTTTCATATATATGGGTGAGGTCTCTTCGTACATGCTTTATCTGGAAATTATATATTTAGAAAATATAAAAAATCTTTACCCCTCTTTTGAAAAACCTGTTCAATGGATCCCCCTTAACATATATTTACAAAAAAATATTAAATATTTTCACGGGAAATGCTGGAGGCGAGAACGTAGAGCAGACTGCACGGAGGTGACAACGTACAGCCTATATATATATATATATATATATATATATATATATATATATATATATATATATATATATATATATATATATATTGTATATATATATATATATGGGACGTTCCACGTCAAACGGACCAAAGCTCTGCCCAAAATGTTTTCCAATGAAAATCAACTTATTATAGATCAGAATACTCGTAAGCTCATACTGCTTCGAATGAAAAGTGCCAAAATCAAAAATTCAAATTGGCGTTATTACTGCGACTCTTTTTGTAAACTTTATTACAAATTATGGAAACAAATTTACATAGTAGTTTGCAAAAATAGTTATAATTTGCTGAATAATGACTAACTCTTCCGTTTTTGGGGTCGCTGATCACGAATCCGATGTCAGATTTTCAAAATTCAAAATGGCGGATCTAATATAGAGGACAAATTTGAAAAATGTGCTTGGATTCGCTGGAAACTGATCATTTAGACGTTTCTGCTAAGGAATGGGTTTTGGCACTAGCTATTTAATACTATTTATAAAATTTTTCAACACATATTTTTTTGGCTAGATTAGCTCGCATTTGAATTTTATCGAAATATGAATTTTTTTGAATTTTTACGTTTTTCAGTCTACTGATACGGGCGTGTGGGAACACTATCTATTAAAAGTTTATTAAAAAATTCGCAATGGTCAAAATTTGAAAAGCAATAATCCCTCTTCAATTCCAGACAAAGAAAAAAAATTTTGGTCAAAAATTGCTTCAGTTACGAATTTTTTTTCGACTTTTTACATTCTTCGGTTTTTTGATAAAGCAGATAGACACGCTGCGCTAGCTATTAAAAGTTAATAAAAAAAATTCGCAATGGTCACTATTTGAAGAGCAGTAATTCCTCCTTAATTTCTGCCACTGAAAAAACAATTTGGTCAAAAACTGTTCGAGTTATGAATTTTTTTGTACTTTTTCAAAATTTTCGATTTTCTAAAACAGGCGGGTCAGAACACAAGCTATTAAAACTTTATCAAAGAAATTTGCAATGATCACCATTAAAGGAGCAATAATTCTTCCTTAAATTCTGGCATTGAAAAAAAATTTGGTCGAAAATTGATCGAGTTATGAATTTTTTTGTACTTTGTACAAATTTTTATAAATAATTGGATCCGCCAATTTGAATTTTAAAAATCTGACATCGGATTCATGATCAGCGACCCTTAAAACCCCCGAGTAATCAGTTTCAAGTGAATCTAAGCAAATTTTACAAATTTGTCCGTTATATTGGATCCGCCATTTTGAAAATCTGACATCGGATTCGTGATTAGCGGCCCCAAAAACGTAAGAGTTAGTTATTATTCAGCAAATTATAACTATTTTTGCAAACTACTATGTAAATTTGTTTCCATAATTTGTAATAAAGTTTACAAAAAGAGTCGCAGTAATGAAGCTATTTTGAATTTTCGATTTTGCCACTTTTCATTCGAAGCAGTATGAGCTTACGAGTATTTTGATCTATAATAAGTTGATTTTCATTGGAAAACATTTTGGGCAGAGCTTTGGTCCGTTTGACGTGGAACGTCCCATATATACCGGCAGATTAGCTTAGTAGGATAGATACTTCGCTTTGTGATCGTTTAAGGGCTAAGGGTAAGTACCCTTGGTTCGCGCCCATTTGGCTTTTTTCCGGCACGTGAGACAATCTGAGCGGGAGGTTTGACGTCGAGGTATTATTATGTGCACCGTCGATTATTGCCCGGTACACACCATTAGAAGTCGACTGTCGATAAACCGGTTGTACTCAGGAGATGTTTTCTACAGTTTCCCTCTCCACTGGCGAGAAAACCCATTAGACGGGTGGTCCAGGCAAATGCGAGTACTCCTAATTTTCAAGTCGCTCTGTAGGCGCAAAATTTAGTAGGGGATATTGGGGTAAACCCGCTCACCTTTTTTCAGATCGGCTAAAATCTAGGAAATTATTCTCTAAATCCAAGTTAATTTATATCATTTGAAAGCTTATGATTTCTACTAAAAAAAATAAAAAAGAGTTTTTGATTTATCTTTTTTAGTTTCACTTAGAGAAACTTTTTAATAAACATATACCAAATTTCAAAATCACAATTTTCCAGGGTAAACCCGCTCACTTTATCTTTTCAAGACGGAACAGTTTTATTTTTTAAATATTAAAGTTCGTCTTATTCCCGTCTTAAGTATGATTTATTATTGATAATTTATGAGTTATATAAACAATTCTATAAACAACAAATTGGTTTAATAAATAATGAACATAGATTTCATGAATTACAACTATGGATTTAAATAGTGTTATATTTTATTAAGAGAAAGTAAAATGTAGTTACAATTTTGGTTTTAATAAGTCATAAATTGTGTTATTGTTGAAATATAATACGTGAAATTATTTTATTCTAAATTTTAAATTTAAAACTAAGTGAGCGGCTTTACCCCGACTTCACGTGAGCGACTTTACCCCGAGTGTATTCCTCACATTTCAGAATAAATTTAATTAAATCTTTTTAAAATAAGACAAAACTATATATGTACTTCGAAGAAGGACATCCAATGGCAACAAAAAAAATTTGCCAGATAAATTAATACTCAAAAATAATGATCGAAAAACTTAAAAATCCAAAATACGTTTTTTTTCTGACACCTCTAAAAACATTTGATCGTCTCTGATTCTATGTTGAATTCATGAAACTAAACGAAAGTTTGTTAACCCTTTAAGGACCAAATGTACAAAAATTTTATCCGAACTTTGGGAGCAATTTTTATTATGAAAACGGATTGCTAAAAATTTTGCAATAGACATTTCTTAAAGCTCAGGAACCGCTCTTTCGAATGCTGCAATAACAAATATTGAAAATTTATAAATAAACAAATTACATAGGGGAGACTGGGGCGTAACGTTAAACTACCAAAACCGTTAAAATTCATTATCTTTCGAACGAAAATAGTTAGAGCATTGCAATTTTAATTATAGAAGGGTGTTATCACCCTAAATAAATGTCCGGAGTTGTGTGCAATTTTGTTTATTTTTGTGGTGTCAATATTAAAAGTTTTTTTTCAATCTACTTTTGAAAATTTTTTCGAAAAAGAAAATATCAACTTTTAAGTATATTTTTTGCATTTTTTCTCACCGCGATTTTTTTACTTTATTATTTGGGTCCCCTGAAGAGATACCTACATGTATTTTCTAAATATCTTTAGTCAGATTTTTTATATTTGTTGTTAAACCAAAAAACGCACCCTGGGGCGAAAAGTTAAATAATGGGTGGGGCGAAAAGTTAAATGTATTTTTACATGTTGTTAAAAATTTTTTTTTATTTTTCGTTTTTTTGGGTTTATTTGTTTAAACATTATTTATTTGACATTTGGCAAGTACTCTGTCAAAAAATAAGCCGGTTTACGTGAAATAAACCAAAAAAAATTTTTTTTTTTTGAAATTTCAATTTTTTAACTTTACAACTATTCTAAAGCTTTTGTCAAATAAACAAAGATCTTTTATTTACTAAATTACTTGTTTACGTATACTTTAACTTATCTACTATTTATCACCTATCAGAAAATAGTTTTAGTAGGCTAAAAATAAAATTTAACTTTTCGCCCCAGCATGGGGCTAAAAGTTAAAAAAAAACAAAATTTTCAAAAAAGGACAAAACATGTATTTTTTGCGAAAATATCAGGAACTTTTTTATTGAAAGTTGTAGAGGACAAGTTGCCCTACAATATTGATATACAACTATTTGCATCTAAGCGGCTTATATTGCCAAAAAAAAATCAATTATGCAAAATTTAACTTTTCGCCCCAGTCTCCCCTACAGTTATTTAAAAAAAACACAATTTTTTAAAGATTTTTTTTTGAAAATAAAATTTTTTTTATCCCACATGCACAAAAACGGCGCTTTCTGATAGCAGCCGACAGGGAGGAAAGTCATTCATTTCTTCGACCGTATGAAAATGGCGGCCGTGTTCTCCCAAGGGCAAGAAAATTAGCTGTTCACATGCATTTTTCTTGCCCAAGGGAGAAATCGGCCGCCATTTTCATACAAATCGAACAAGTGAATGACTTTTACTCCCTGTCGTCTGCTATCTGAAATCGCCGCTTTTGTGCATTAGGAATAAAAAATATCGTAAGTAACACGAGAATAAAGGCAGCCAATTTCTTTACGATGATTTTTGTGACACTCGTTC